AGTTAGACCCCACCATGAGCAAGGCCTCCCTTGCATACACCACTTGTACAGAAGGCTTCCCAGGATGTTTGAATTCTTGATGAACCCCACCTGACGTCAGTTGGTCTTGTTCTCTTTGACCCTTAATATATGCTTTGCACTCTTCTGTGTCATTTATTCCGAGCTGTAAGTCTCAGCTGGTGGTACGGGAGGGTAGAAGGCCCAGGAGACACAATAGTTGCCATTGTTTGAAAGGTATATAAAGATTAAACTGGTATCAACTAGTCTAGGGGATAAAACCAGGCCCCCAAAAGAGAGATTACTAGGAGACAGATTCTGGTTCAATATTAGAAGGAAACTTCTAGAAGCGGCGGTCCTTCGAAGCTTGGAGTGGGCTCCTTGGGACCTCCATGTCCCTGGCTGGATCCAGGAGGGCTGCCCACGGGGCAATGGAATGTCATGCTAGGGTTTCAAACACTGAATGGATAGATGAATTATATCATCTTTAAACAATATGCTATATCGTTATTTTCCTCAATTATGACCTCCCGAGTGTTAGACTAGCACAGTCCCACCTTCCTGCAGGCGTGTGACTGCAGGTTTTCCTGCCCCGGCTGTGGGGAAGAAGCCTGCTGCCGGGAGAGCGACCGCCCGGAAGGGACAGTGAAGAGCAGGTGGGGCGAAGGGGAAAGGGGTTCAGACAATGGCCTTTGGCAGAGGAAGGTCCCCGAGCAAAGAGAGAACTTGACTGAGAAAAATGGCGGGAAACACGTAGACAGTCTTCGCAGACGACCCGAGGAAATGGCAGGGAGGCTGCAATAAGGCGGCACCCACCTCGCGGTGGGGAGCTTGGAAGCTCGAGCCAGGCCCCCCGGGTTCACATCCTGGCTCTAGCATGTACTTCCTCTGTGACACTGGGCAAGTCACTCCCGCTCTCTGTGCCTCAGTTTCTTCATTTATAAAATAGGAAGGGTGCTGTCGACATTCATCGTTGTGGGGATTAAATGAAATATTTATGACACATGATAGATACCCCCAAAGTGTGAGCTGTTTTACTGTATTATTGGGTAAGTTTGAGAAGTTTTATTCCGGATCTGCACAGTTCGGAGTAGGAGAGGAGCCTTATGAAGAGATAGAGATGTTCTCATTTTAAAGGTGAAAAAGTTGAGAATTAGGACAGTAAGAGAGAACTTGGAGGACCAAACTGGGGAAAGGAGGGAGAGTGGAAAGAGTGGAAAATAGAGGCAGCTTCAAAACTGAACAGAAGGGAAGCCTTACACCGTGGTTCCTGAGCCAAGTATCAGCTTGAAACCAGAGTGAGAGAAAACAGGCCGGGAAGGGATGGGGCAAGGGGATTCAAGATTTCTCGTGGAAGCGTGGTGGGCGGAAAGAATTAAGCAACCTAACAGATGTGCTTTTGAGCTTTTGTTTTAGGTGCCAAATTATTTCAGCAACGGTCTTGGCCAGGGGTTTGGCTGACTTAATCATATGGTTCCTATTTAAAAGATTGTTGTCTGTCTGTGGCATCGTACTGACCGTTTGACTCTAGATTGAATAAATTCTGGTTAGAAAGTTAAGTGGGGACTTGCTAGAGGGGCATGAATGGTAGCCAGGGCCACCCAGGAGTGGGCACAGCCCTGGGGTGGGGCCCTGTGAGGGTGCCTAGGTGTGTGTCCTTGTTTCCAAGAGGAGCATCACTTCCTGTTCTGGGGGGGCGGGGGTTGTAAAGGTGTAAGTGTCGGTTCAGTTGCTTTCCTGGATGGTCCCACGAGCCCAGAAGCGAGTGGGTACAATGAACTGCACTCTGGACCCTCAGACGCTGGACATGGGACTTGAATTGTAGAGCTTGGAAGCCGAGTACAGGCTTCCACATTAGTACTGGAAGTATCTGGGGAGTCAGTGGCCCCTCAGAGAGGCTGAGAGGCCCACAGCTGGCCTGTTCTGGGCGCAAGGAGAAAAAGAGTGGCAGACCTTTCCTGTGGGCATGGCCCACTCCACTCCTCAAGACAGTGGTTGTCTGCCTACTCACCCTCAGCAGAGGAGATGCTCCTTGTTCCTGCCCATGAGAAGATAGAGCAGACCGTGGCCTTGAGTGGCTCTGGGGAGGGTTCGATCAGCTGTCCTGTCACTTACTAGCTATTAAAGCCACTGAACCTCGGTAAGCTGATCCCTCCCTGTGCAAATGGGGTTGTGTGCAGATTCTGTGACAGTTGCACACGCTGCATTGTAAAACAGAAATTGCTATTCCAATGGTAGTGCTATTATTTTAAACACAGGTTCACCATTATTTAATATGTCCAGATATCGTGATAGGAAAGCCAAGCTCCCAGTGCAGAGTGTTCTGCGCCGTGGATCTCAGAGCAGAAAAGCGTGGGCCAGCTCTGTACATGTGACCATCTGAGGGAGCAGTTCCCTCTTAGGACAGCCTTGTTGTCTAGTCTTGACTGTTCAGGTGACTGCCCTTGCCAGCCTGGCCGCTGCTCTGGCTCGGGGCTCTCTAGGTGCCAGAATCCCACTGAGTTCTCATGGCACCATCTCCAAGGAGACAGATCTGTCAAGGAGGCTTCACTGCTCCCAGGATGGCGAATGCCAGGCTAAGCTGATCACCCAGCCTCATGCCCTCTTGGCCCCAGGCCTGGTCTAGTGGGAACAGAGAGGAGGGGATGAGGCCAAGAGGTTGGCTCCCTGCCCCTCCACGGGCACCTGCCTCTCCACCTGTTTCTCCTGCTGATGCTGGAACCATCCGTCTGGGTCCCAGCAGGGCCCCGGACCAGGCTGCCCTTCCCACCAGGCTAGTTTACTGAGGTCACCTCCCAGCTGGCCTCCTGCTGTAGCTCCCTTCCCCCAACGCTATCCCACATATGTGGCCAGAGACGTTTTCCCCCCTTACCTGCTTCCTACAGGCCCAGCTGCGCTCCAGAGTTTTCTTTCGCTCATGCCTCTTTGCAGCCCTGCTCTGGCTCCCCCATTCCTGAGCTAGCCGTGCCCTGAACAGATTTTCCTCCTTTGGGCCTTCCTTTCTTTTACCTGGGTTTTCACTACACATGTATTTGCCCTCCCCCTACATCTTCCCATAAGCAAAGTAAAATTCCCGCTCAGATTTCAAGCTGTAACTTATTTGACACTTCTTCCAGGAAGCCCTTCCTATTTCCCTCACACCTCTGTTGGAGGGGTGCGAGGCCTCTCCACACGTCTCTCTGCAGCTTGCAGCCCCCTCGGGGGCAGAGGCCTCCCGTCTCTGCACCTCCCTTCATAGCACAGAGCGCTGTGGGGCTCACAGCTTATTTAGAAAAATCCAATGAATTAAACTGGAAATGAGCCATCCGGAGACAGTTCAGGACCCCATGCTCCTTCCCTGGAAAATACGAGGTCAGTTCAGAGGGGGTGACGTTCTAAGCACAGGTGACAGCTGTCAGGCTATGACATTGCACAGCACAGGCTCAGGAGTTTCACACACACTCTTCCCCCTTCCCCCACCAAGTTCCCCCTGAGTAGCAATAGTATCGCAGGACATTAATAAAATCAATTATTGGATAAAAATCACTCGTTTCTAAAGCTTCATTTTGTGCTATTAGCGGGAGAGTGCTGTTTCAAAAGGAGATAAGGAGAGAGAAAGGGAGATCAATTACCAGATAAGATCGAGTGGTGCCCGAGGTATGCGCACACTGGCAGCGGCCCCCTCACCTGCCCTGTGTGGGCCGAGCACCTGCACTGCTGTCTGTGTGCCTTCCTGTCTGGTTCCCCAAGTGAAGGAGGGCATCCTGCTCAGCGATGGGACGGTTGGGACCCGGGCGGCTTGGGATGCTTGCCTAGCAACTAGGCTCAGTAACACGTGAGTGAGCCTCTCATCCTCAGCGAGGATGCCAGCCCCAGGGTACTGGCCGCCCATCCCAGACCCTGGTTAATAGGCTCTTCCTAGAGACACAACACGCTTTTGGCTTTGCCGAACCTGAAAGGTCTGAGCTTGATTGGATGCTGACTGGCGCTCACCTCGCCGGGTGACAGCGTGGGTGTCCTCGGGGCAGTGGTCGTCCAGGGAAGCATCTGGCTGCCGAGGCCCTGAGGCCCACGCCTCCGTGCTGGCCTTGCGGAAGTGCCCTGTTGGCGGTGGGGCTGGTGTGGGTGGGGCAGAGGAGACAGCCTGGGCTCTGGAGGGGGTCCCCCTCCCTGTGTAAATCCTGGCTCCTCCTCCACTGTGCAGATGCACCGGAGGGCCCCGGAGAATGAGCTCCGCTTTAGGGTCTGCCTCTGTCCACCTGGGTGACCTCAGACAAGCCAGTCAGCTTTGCGAAACCTTGATTCCTGACTCAGTGCAGAGCATTTCGGGGAGGGTGAGACGAGCTCATGAATAAGGAAACCACCTAATACCTTCTAAAGTGCTGTCTCCCCATCTGGTAGGGGTTATTACTTGCTCCCCAATTGGTGCTTTATAAAAATAATTACAGATTCCTGGGTTGGAGGATGAAAGGACCACATAGGGTATCTGTCCAGTGGGTAGCACACCATTTTAGATGGATCACCTACTTCTCGTCACTGCCTTTCTATGGGAATGATGGTCATTATATACCTACTCTGTGGCAGCTATCGTGCTGGCAATTTCAGTCATGTGTTCTCAGGTTATCCTGGAGAGGTGGCCTCTGGAGTCAGGATGCTAAAATCTGCTTCCTGATTGTGGGATATGGAGCAAGGTACTTAGCCAGGTGAGGCTGGTTCCTTGCATATATAATGGGACTGTGAGCGATATCCATCTTACAGAACCACTACGAGAAATACATGCCATCACATGAGTAACGGTCCTCGCACGTGCCTGGTACATAGTGCTCAGTAAACGGTAGCTGCCATTACGGTCATTCTGTTTATTTTTGTTGCTGATGTTATTATTAACATCCTACCTCCGGCCCATCTTCAAGCTAAACTTGCCAGATCAAGCCTGGCCTCTGCAGCTGAACATTGACAGACGGACAGACGGGCTGGGGGAAGGTCGGAGCCATTCTCACAGGCTTCCTGTTCATGTCACACAGATTCTGGATGCTGACTGGGATGACCCGTGGGACCAGTTTGATGAGCGGCGGTATCTGAATGCCAAAAAGTGGCGTGTGGGTGACGATCCCTATAAGCTGTATGCTTTCAACCAACGGGAGAGCGAGCGCATCGCCAGCAATCGGGCCATCCCGGACACCCGCCATCTGAGGTATTCCTCCTTCTCTGCTACTCTCCCCTCCCCTCCCTGTAGCGATGACACTTGATTTATGCAGTGCCCAGTGCCACGTGCTGGGGCAGGCAAACCATTTGGTGCCAGTTGGTTGCTGGAGGATTTATAATGTGGTCATTTACACTGTCTGTGCTGCTCATTGTTGTGGGCCACCCCATGGGGAGGGTGGGAGTCCCCCTTCACTGGCAGCAGGGACTAGAAGTCTCCTGCAGTCTGAGACCTGGGGACGGACTATACCTAGAGCCTGTCCTGCTGCTGGCTTGAAAGCTTCTTAGGGTCAGCGTCTTATAGTATTCTTATGAACAGCCTCCAGCACTGATCCTGGTCCTTGCCATCTGATAGAATTCTATTTAAATATTAGGCTATTATACTCGCCTGAGCAGATTCCATATAGGAGAAGAGGGAGGAGACAGAACGCTGAGAAACCCCACAGGGCCTCAGTCTGGTGGTGCCTTCTTGCCCTGAGCCCAGGTGCCGAGCTCTCCAGAGAGCTGGTGAGAGCTCTGGGAGGGAGCTGGAGGGGATGTCCCTGAATAGTCTCCCCTGCAGCGGGGAGGCTTCAGGAATTTGCTGAGGAGGCAGGTTCGCAGGGATGCCCCATGCAGGGTGAATTGCTGCGTTCACCCTGTTCTATGATCTGAGAGGCAGAAATGCAAGAATTTTAAAAAGGCCGGATGTCCCCGAAGATCCAAGTGCCCCTCATCCAGTCCTGGGCTCTGCAACTAATCCAGCGAGTTCCATCTGTTCACTAACTGTGATCTGCTGGGATTGCAGCAAGAGGGGAAGAGAGAATCTAGAGGAAATCCAGACACCCTTTGGGGAGACACAAAGGAAAAGTGTACCAGACATATGTCTGCCTCAGGGCCCTAACCTTGCCTGGTGGAAGCTGGGATTGTGTTACTGAGAGCATTTCACATTTATGGATCCTAACCTGAAAGAGCAGGAAGGGGAGAGGAAAGGGGATTGGGAATGAGGGCAAGCACATGGGATCAGGCAGTCAAGGAGGGGGTATTGAACACCTACTCTGTGCAAAGCCCCAGGGTAGCACCGTGAGAAACCACTGATTGGATCAGCCATCTCCAGGCTCAGTTTGGTGTAGGACTGACCCTGTGCCCACATCGCTCTTGTGGTAGTGCGAGTCCCAGAGACCGCCAGCAAAGCCTGGCGTTCTTCCCTCAAATGGGCCCCATTGCGGGGTGACCTTATGTCTATAGGGTCTCCCGCTTCCAATGCCTGTGTCCATGAGGCCGAAGTTACCATCTAAGTCCCTGAATCCTTCTCTGATTCCAGCCCCCACTGTATACTGACTTCATCCTGTTGTGATGCGTGGGGCTTGCCTGCTGGTCTGGCAGAGCGCCGGGGCCCTTCTTGGGCCCTGCCTGCCCCAGCACTGACCAGCTGTGGCTGCTGGTGACCTATCTACATCTGTAGACTAGGGATTCTCAACAGAGACTGACATTTTGGGTTGGGATAATTCTTTTTTGCGGGGTTGTCCTGTGCATTTTAGGATATTTAGCTGCATCTCTGGCCTCTGCCAACTAGATGCCAGTAGCACCCCCAAGTTGTCAAAACCGAAAATGCCTCCAATCATGGCCAGATATCTCCCGGGGACACAACTGCAATGAGAACCACTGCTGTAAAGCCCGCCCCCCTTGTTACCCGAGTTCTCAAGAATGAAACATAAACACGCGATATCAGCCCCAATAATGGGATGCGTCCATACCTTCCCTGGAAAGCAGAATTAAGCAGAAGGCAGTACAGCCCAGAGGTCAAGGTGCAGACTCTGGGGTCAGATCACCCTGTTTCCAGTGCTGGCTGTGCTGCAGACACAGCTGAGGGAACTCACCATTGCCTGCCTTCCCCCGACTGCAATTTCCTCTTTTGACAAATGGATAAAAATGGCAGTAATGATACCCACCTAATGTGATTTTTTGTAAGAATCAAATAAAACATGTGTAAAGTACTTATCTACTCCATAGTAAATAGCCAAAGCTTTCCATTGCAGTTACTATTACAGAGTAATAACATAAGCAGGCTGGCCCTGCAGGGCCTGAAATGGAAGGAGAGGGCTCTCCTGAGAAAAGGGAAGATGCTCAGGCAAAGAGATGCAACCAAACCCCAGGCATCAGGAAGGGGCACCAGGAGGATCACTAAGTTGTCGGGAGTGGTGGTAGGGCCGGGAGACACGGAGAAGGGTTTCAAGATTAAGTTCAATGCTAGAGAAATGGGAGCGTTGGAGTCAAACCCATAGGTGTGGGTGTGGAGTGTAGGCATGAGTATGAACCTCAGCAGTTCCCAGTCGAGGCCTCACAGAAGAACTCCTTGGGGAGCTTTTTAAAAATGCTGATTCCGAACTCCGACCAGCTGAAGTTGCTCTTGTCTGAGCTCCCTGGGTGATTCTAATGAGCAGTCAGGCTTAAGAACCCCTGCTCCAGCTAAGTGTTTCTCAAACTTAAATAGGCAAACTGAAAAATCATGCGAGGATCTTGTTAACCTCTGATTCAGCAGGTCTGGGGTAGAGCCTATGGTTCTGCATTTCTAACAAGGTCCTGGGCAACACTGATGGCAACTCTTCATGGATCACGCTTTGAATAGCAAGGGCTTAGAATGACAGTTCTCTAAGTGTCGGTTCCACGAACTAGCAGCCCAACAGCAACGGGCACCATTTGGGAACTTGTTAGAGAGGCAAATTCTTAAGCTTCACCCCAGAACTACCAAATCAGAAACCCCAGGCGTGCAGACTAGCAGCCTGTGCCTTGACAAGTACGGCAGGTGATTCCGATGCCTGCTCGAGTTTGAAAACCATAGGGCATCAGCTTATACATGCGCTTGCTTTTGGAAGCCAGATGAAGTCCACGGGCAGGTTGGTTCAGCTGGAAGACTCAGGGTTTCAGTAGAAAGTAAAGGCCCTGGAATAAGGCCACCCACCTGCCTGCAATCTGCAGCACTGTCCCTCGATCCCGGTGACAGGACATCTGTCTTGCCCTGTGCAGACCTTTGGCTTTTCTGGTTCCTTCCAGCTCCTCCCCTCTTCTCCTACTTTCTTCAGCCATAGAATCTGTACGTAACCATCCTCCTGGACTTCATCATACTGTGGGGCACTCCTGGACCGGTGGCTATTGTCCAGACTGGGCTCCTGGCTCCTTTGTGGAGTCCAGCCCCATTGATACAGGCTTCCTTCCCGCTGCTCTGCTTTTGTGTTCCCATCCTCGCTTGCCGCTCAGGCTCTACTAGTTAGGACATCAGTTGCCCTCCCAGGGGAGTAATCTTTGATAACATCTACTACAATGTGCCTGGTGTGTGATAGGAATTCAGTAAATGTTGTTGAACCAATGTAAGGGAGATTAAAACTAGAAAGACAATGGACTACTCCCTCCCATCTGCCTTATGTGCAAAGAGTAGAAGGGGAACTAGTAGAAGTCTCTTCTGTCTTCCTTCCATCCTGAGGGCATTCAGATGAGGGATCTGCACAGGCTCAGTTAAAGGAAAAAGGCTTTTCCCTTAAAGAGTTCTCATTATTGAAGAGAAGAGTGAAGATACAGCCTGTGGGAGGGGTCTGAGCTTATTAAATTTACTTGCAATTTTCTTACCACAGTAATTGGATTCTGATTTATAGGATGCATTTGGACAGCGTCTGAAACAGAACTATTAGCGGAGCATTAGAACAGCGCTGCCGAGAGAGAGGGCGGGCGCTGGGGTGAACTGCCTAGGAATCCAAAAATGCAGCAGGTGGGGTGAGGAGGGGGAGAAGGAGGAAGGCTCTGGAAGCTGTCACCCAGCAGGCTGCTGTGCTGATTGAAAAGCCTAGTGTGTTGGCAGCATGGAACACCCCTGACAAGCAAGTCACAGTATGTTGTCATGTGATAGAAGAAGCCCCAGAGAGGCTGAGGGCTCAATTTTTTTTTTTTTTTTTTTTTTGTATGGAACAGGACAGAGTTGCCATTTTTCTCTGGGGCCTTTGCCCCTGGAGCCCATGGTATTTTGGAGGCAGCCGGTTTGCAATGAACATGATATAACTGAGGAGAGGAGTTTAAGAAGATTAGATTGGAGCAGGCTTCAAACTCCACTTTCCTGGGGTTTATGGGATCCATGCGGTGGGCAGTGAGTGATGCCCACACCCAGACTGGTTTAGAAAATGCATGCCCACAGTTTCTAATGGATCCCCTATTCATTCGCCCTTTGGAGTTAACAACCACCCTCTCAGGCCCCCACCCCTTCCACAATGTTTGACATTTTCACAATTTTAGATTGAAACTTGGTGTTACTGGCCTTTAGACACATGTTTGCTGCAGCTGGATATCCTCCTCTTCCCAGTTCAGGTCCTGGGAGAGGAGTGAGGATGAGGTAACCAGCCATGGCCTTCCACACGTTCCTGCTCCTCTCTTGGCTTTGTTTTCTCATCCGTAGTTGGACGTGAAGCTTTATCATTCTGTAAGTCGCCATGCAATTGTAGATCCAGTCACCCTCTCGCTGTTGGTCAGATATTTACACATGTATGCACTCTGCTCTCCCACCCTGCCTCAGCGTGAACAAAGCAACTGCACCTGTGTCAGGGCATCCTAACCCTTAATTCTCCCCCTAAGGCCCACAATTCTGTTAACACGGATGAAAGCTTTAACTTCCAGGACAGTGCCTAGGTCCTGTGGGGTCACAGGGATGAATAAGTCAGGGCCACCCATATCAGGGAAAGGGGGTGGTATTCCATAAATAACTCACAGTGAAAGAAAGAAGCAGCATCTAGCTGGGGTGAGTCTGAGATTTCCCAGGAGAGTCCTGCTGTCTATAAATCATTGACTGGCTCAACAAATAGTCTTTGTTTTCCTGTTGTCCTGCCCCCGCCCCATCCTGGGGACAACAGCTGGATCTGCCATCATCCAAGGAGCACATAGAACATCTGACAGTCAAGAAGCCCTTAGCCGGAGGCACTCCTCTCCAGAAGGGGAGAAATATTTTGAGGAAACAAATGTGTATCTTCACCG